GCTGATAAGCAGACAGCAGCAGGACTGAATAGGCCCGTGGTTCAAACAAAGGTTTCTGTTGAGTAGGAACAGGTAAAAGACGGATGGTTTGTTAAACATTGCCAGCATACTTTGCTAGTGCCATTCACCGGTCACAGCTAATGGTAACAGGGGCATTGTGCAGCAGATGCATTTGCTAATTTCGGCCAACTTAAACGCTATTCCTTATCTTTGTTGGTCTTGCTGAGATTAAGGCGGTTTCAGTATGCTGAATGCACTACACTCCTGCATGAAAAACATTCCTGACAGTCTCAAGGAGTAAAAAAACACTGGCTGTCAGCGAGTAGAGCAGGGCCGGGAGGTCTGCTGACACAGGGCTGGGTCCAAGGCCCACTCCAGCACTGCATTGGGCAATGCAGACTTCGTCCCAGCTTTGTGCTAAAGGCAGATAACCCACAGCACAGCCAGGGCTCAGCACCCAGCAGTTTGTTGGGATGCGATGGGTGTTGGACACAGTTTGTGCTGCGCTGCTGCACCAATGTGAGAGCAGAGCCTATTTGCTGGCCGGGCAGCCCGGTGTCACCGAGTGTCTGCCTCCCTTCAGCCCTCCCTTCCTAACCCTTGAACTCCTTGCCCATTTCAATCAGCTTTGCCAAGACAATAGGCGTCTCGGAGCTCATTAAGTGCTTAGGGGGGGTTTGTGGACATAGGCATCTGTGCAAAGGGCAGGGGCTGGGGGGGGGGGGGGGGGGCTGCGGGTAGGATCGCCCCACCTGGGATCCTCCGCAGAACAAAACCTGGGCAAGAAGCCACTTCCTTCCCCCAAATCCTAGCTCCAGCCCAATGGCCAGCTGCAGGATCCTCCCTTGCCCATGCCCATTGCATCCTCTCTCCCTTTCCAATCCCGCTTCATCCTCCTCAGCTAGCCAGGATAGCTAAGGGGAATACCTAATAGCATTAGAACCCATTTTATTATTCTCACTGGTATTTTAACAGCGCTGAGTCACACGGGGGGATTAGGACAGCTCCCAGAAGATGTAATACCCTGCAGAGACAGGCAGGGCTCGGAGCGGGGCCAGGAGCCAGGGAAACTTTGAGTTAACGTGGGACCCTGACCCTACCCCTCACCTTAACCCTCAACTTTGCATGAGCTCAGCATGAGCATCCTGCATGCATGGAGGCAACCATCTGTCTGAACACCTCAAGAGAGGGTTTCTTTCTTCTTCACAGTAGTTGTTCATGATATGATAATAATAATAATTATTATTATTAGGTATTAGACCCCCACCCAGAAAAGCCAGGCACTGCTGCAGCCTGAGCCCGGCACAGCTGGCACTGTGTCCCTGCCAGTGGCATTATGTTCCCTTTGACAAAAAAGAACCAGGAGAATTCCCTTGCCAAATATTGTTCTGGTAACCGTAACTCTGGGTCTTGCCAGGTTACAGAGCTCCTGTTATGGAGCTCCTCCAGGCTGCATCCAATGCTATTGTTATTGTGAAGCACCTCTGCGCTGGTCAGGCTTTGAAGTAGGTGAGGCGGTCACCGTTCTTTCCTCTTTTCTTTTTTCTTTTTTTCCCTTTTTCCCCTCAAGCTCCGGCTCTATGATTTAGGCTGGAAGCAGATTGTTCAAGAGCGCCGGGGGAAATCTGGCAGGCGCTGACCAACCCCGCAAGAATTTATTACCAACCCTTTTAGCTGCCGCCTCTGCCTTTGTTACTCAGCCCTTGGCAGGGGGGTCCATCCGTCTGCAGCATCCAGCACTGCGTTCACTGCTCACCAGGTGAGCTCTGGGAACAACCATCCCTCACCATCCCACTCCAGGACATCCTCCGGGACTGTTATCCAATTGAACCGGCGAGGATTTAAAATGCCACCTGAGTTAAAAGGACCTGATTAAAACTGTACCCTCATCACATTTCTTAAACAGCCGGTTGCATTGCCGTATTTACATTAGTGTCAACTTTAATTTAAATCCCGCATAACGATATTTGCTCCCCTAAATTCATTCGCCGGGAGCGAGGCACAAATTACTCGGAGCTGACTGCACTTTCCCTTTGTCTGTGTTGCAGCGTTTTGGAAATTAAGGCTGAGCACCTCGTTAGGGTCTCATTAAGCAGCCCAATGCAGGGCGCTGGGCTGCAGACTGAGGATGGATTGGGGCGTTTTGGTGTCGGCCAGGTGCTGGCACGGCAGGGACACGTGGGGTCAGCTCTGCAGACAATGGGAGCCCTCCTGCTCTCCTGACCACCCAGTAGGGGAGAAGGGGGAAAAGAGACAAAAAAAGGAAAAAAAAAAAAACAACAAAAAACACAATAAAATACCCGGAGGTTTCTCAGGTTTTTGTGACAGCAGTGTTTAAACTCGGTGCTTCCTGCAGGTGCGCTCTTTGACGACGAGCGCTCCGTGTGATTTCAGCCAGGCAGGCGTTTTCTTTAGTCCTCGGTGCTTTGCCTTTTCACCTTGTCAAACCCTTTCAAGCTAAACAAACCTTGTTCCAGCCTTGCTCACTGAATCCCAGCCCGGGGCGGCACAAAGCGGCGTAGCATCACGGTTGGAGCTGGCATTTGGGTCGGAGCAGCATAGCAGTGCCTGGGCAACGGGCAAAGGAGGCAGGAAGAGAGCAAGGGAAGGGCAGGGGACTGCAGCCCGGCTGTGGGGAGGTGGCACTGAATGTGGGGGCTGCTGGATGTGCCACTGCCCGGTGTCACCTTGTCCTCGAGCTCCACGGGGACGCGGCTCCGCGCAGCACCAGATTTGCATGGCTAAGTCGACGGCTGTGCAGCTGTGCTCTTATCTGGTCAGAGGAAGAGGATGAACAACAAAAGGGCCTAAGAAGCCCGGTTGATGCATGGGAAAGCCATTGGTTGAGCATTGTGGCTGCCCTTCTGCTGAGCAAATAGTTCAAACTGTTCATTCCCATCTTCTATTCTCTCTCCGGTACATTGTTTGTGTCCTTGCATTTCATTCTGCAAGGAAGATTGCTCTCTGGGCCTATAAGCAAACAGTCCAGAAAAGAGCCAACTATCCTCTCCTTTTCCCTGGAGAACTAGCATTTTTATTTCAGCTCCAAGCTGTCAAAGAGCTGGAGAGTTTATGTCAGTATCCTGAATTAATTGCTTTAAGCTGGAGCAGCCTAGATGAGCCACCAAATGTCCAGAAGATGTTTATTAATAACGTTTCCTGCCTGTTTTGTTCCGAGCTGCTCTCTCCTGTCCAGTGCCCTCCATTCACTGCCTTGGGGTGGCAAAGCCAAAGCCGCTTATGGGGAATTAGAGCCCGCTGCCAGGCTTTGTCACCATCCCTGTGCCCAGAGCTGGGAGCTCTGGTTGGGGCGGCTTGATGCTGGGAGCAGGAGGAGGAGGGAAACGGATTGCTGCTGGTGGGTCCCTTGTTTAAACACAAATATCTTCGGTAATTAGCAAAAGTGGCGAGGAAATTACCGATGGAAAAAGAGAAACCACACGGAAGGTAAACGGCCCTGTGTTTAAACATGATATATTTTAAAGTGTTCCCCAGCGTGAAAGTCGCTGTTTAAGGGAATGAAGTAATAAACCAATTTATATACCAATAGAAAGTGGAGATCCTGAGTGCCTTTGTGTAAATTTTCCACTTGACTTTTCATTATCTACCTGAACAAAATCAATCTATATGTATGGGATCAACACGCAATATGAGAGATAAAAGAGGAAATAAACGCGCTTTGCATATCCCGCGGATGAACGCCGCGGGGCTCCAGCCTCCCCGCCAGGCAGATGCATTTTATAAAATAAATCATTTTGCTGAGGAAAAAGAGAGCAGAGAGGAGCATTACTTCTTAAGTGTTTACTCCCTAGCTTGAAATATCGATCCTGTCAAACGAACGGTGGTTAATAAGTAACTCGGGGGAAATGTGCTGCTCCGTGCAGGAGGAGCGCTGCTGCGGCAGGGGATGCGCTGGGGCCGGTACCTGGGGCAGCACAAAAAGCAGAGCTAGAGGCAGAAAGAAGAGAGCACGCTGCCTCTCCCTCTGCCTGGAGATGGGTTTGGGGGTAGAGCGCCAGGCTCGGGGATCCTTCTCTTTTCTCCCTTCAGGGCTAAGGGAACAGCCAGGATCCCCTTGTGTGTTTTTTCCCTCCCTAGCTGGATATAGGAAAGGTTAAGAGGCACTTTAGCAGGCACAGCCCCACTCGGGCATGGCAGACTCCTATTCCTGATGAAACTCCAGCCCTGATGTATTCCTGCCCCCAAGGACCTGGATCCGGCCCCATGCAGGGCAGCACCTGCCTCCTACAGCATCGCCGTGGCCATACCCACACCATTCAGCCTTGTGGGATCTGATGGGGTCAGTGGGGTATGGATATGGCATTGGTGTTGTGTCCCCTGTGCTGGCAGAGCTGCAGCTGGCACAAATACTTCTATTTTCTAAGAGAAACAGTAGGGTCACAGAGCTCCATCCACTGCAATGTCAAGAAAATAAATAAACTTGAAAAAAATGATTTGAGGAAGCTCTCCTGCTTTGTTTCCTGTTTCTACTTTTTCTTCTTTTCCCCTAAAATTCCAGGCAGGAGGGAAGAAGTGGTGCAAAGAGTGGCAAAGGGCACAAAGAGAAACATGGGGATGAGCTGATCACTTCCCAAACCCAAGAGTTTTCAGGGATGCTCCTGAGGAACGTGCCCTGCTGTTGGCTCAACATCTGCAGCCAGTTTATTAGTTTGCTAACGACGCCTCGGATTGGACCCGGAGGGAACAGAAAGTCCTGGCAACCTCTTGCAATATCAGCCTCACCTTCTGCCCCGTCCCACTGCCTCCCTGAAGCAGAGCTGCTGCTTTCAGACCCCCGTCTGCAGCCTGTAATTTTGCAGTAGTGCAGAGCAGCAGCAAAGGGAGGGATGCGTTGGAGGACCAGAACACTGTAGCATGGCTCAGTGCTGGATAGCAATTGCCAGGGTCCTGCAAGGTGGGATGAGTGCTACATCTTTAGGATGGCACCGATGTGCATCCCTCAGAAAGCTCCACAAATTCATTCATTCTTCAGCTTTCCCGAAGCGTTTTAACAATTTATTTTTTTCCTAAAAGGATCCATCCCAGAGAAGCATCTTCTCAAATATCCTCGAGGCAGAGATAGCACTTCTGCCCGTTGCCGAGTCTACTGAAGCGTAACGCAGGTATTGCACACAAGTACAGACACAAAGAGGCAATCAGAGATGGGGATCTGGGGTTTCATAGGGGACGCACACACGGCAGCAGCGCGCTCAGCACGGCTCAGAGGTTGGCCCCATCTGTCCTTGACACTGATCCCCTGTGCTGTTATTAAAATCAAGAAAGGGCGGTGAAGGTGAGTGCAAGTGCTCACACACCACAGGCTGCTTCCCCGCCGTGCAGGAGGCTGCAAAGCATCTCAGGGTCCTCAGCCTCCTTCAGTGTTGGTGCTGTCGGTGATGGGGTGGGAAAGGAAACCCCTGCTGGGCATTGGGGTGGGAAGGGGAATCACTGCTGGGCACTGGAGTAGCTGTCTGCTTTCCAGCCAGGCAAAGGAGAGCTTCAATCTTTGCGTTGCTTGCAAGAGTGAAAAACCTGTCAGAACTCAGTCCTGTCCCAGCTGTTCTTGCACTGACCGTGCAGGCAGATTGCTGGCAGCAGCAAGGCTCCGGCTGCAGAAATCCATAAGGTAAATGGCACGTCGAGGGCTTTCTTGCCGCCTGCTTTGAGAAGAGCAGGGCCCGTTTGGGTGAAAGCAGGAAGGCGTTCTGAACGCCCGGCTTTGGCAGGAGGGAGCCGAGCCGGTGTCCTCCCCCAACCCTCGCCCATCCCCGAGGCTACCTGCAAGTTGCCGGCCTCGTCTGGCTGCTACACCCGGTCCCTGATCCCTGCCCTGTCCGGCAAGAGGAGCGTTAGAGTTGGGGATGGAAGGGTGAAAAATAGAGAGGGAAAAAGCGGAGGGAGAAGAGGAGAAAGGGGAAGAAATTGGGGGGAAAAGGGGAAATGAAATTAAAAAAGAAATAGGAAAGAAGAGTGAGAAATAGAAGGGATGGAGAAAAAAAAAGGGGGGGGAGGGGAGAAGGAAAGAGGGAATGAAAGGAAAAGTGAGGAGAAGAAATGGAGGGAAAAAAGAAGAGAGAAAGAAAGGTAAAGAAAATCAAAGAAAGGAAAAGAAACAAAAAAAAAAAAAAAAAAAAGGAAGGAAAGGAAGAAATAAAAGAACAACAGATGATAAGAGAGACTGAAAAGGAAAGCGTGAAAAAGAAAAGGGAAAAGAAGTCCCAGCGACAGAAGCGCTGCCCGCTCCGTTCGCTGCCCCGCGCTGCCCCAGGCGGGCGGAAACCCCCCGGCCCACGTTTCTGCTTGGGGAAGCGGCCAGCCGGGCTGGGACGGTGCGGGACCTCCAGGACCCCCCACCCCCGTCTCATAAGTTGTTTTTTTTTTTACTTTTTTTTTTTTTTTTTTTTAATTCAATTTTACACCCAGCCGCACCTACAAACGTAACACGCACCCCTCCTTCCCTTCCTCCATCCATCCTTTCCTCCATCCTTCCGTCCTTCCATCCGTCTCTCCATCCATCCACCGTCCCGGAGCCGCATCCCACGCTGGCCGCGGCTTTTCCCCATGCTCCCGTCCCGATTCGCATCCCTGTGCCTCAACCCCTTACACTTAGGGCCGGGTTTTGCGCCTCTCTGGGCGTCGCTTCCCACCTTGCTTCCCCATATCCCCCACCCCGGGGGGAAGCCCCTCCATTCTCCTGGCCCTCCCCTTCTCAAAACTGTCGCATTTTCCACGCGTGGAGATTTAATAGGAATAAAACATCAAGCCCGTCGGCTCGGCCGGGACTGCGGGAAAACTCGGGGCACTAATTTATTATTTTTTCTTTTTTTTTTTTTTTTTCCTTTTTTTTTTTCGTTCCCCCATACAGAAAGAAATAGGGAACAGATTCCTCTTCCCCAGAGCCAACCCCCCTCCCCCGGGTTCCGTCGGAGAGGAGAAATATTTCGCTGAGAGACGAACCGCAGCGAGAGAGCAAAAAAATAAACCCCAATCGTCTCCCGCCGACACCCAAAGCCCCGTTTTTAGCTGTCCCGTAAATAAGGAGCCGGCAGACTCTGCATCATCCTTTGCTATTTACTCTTTTGAAGGTTAGGCAGGGCAGAGGTAACAAACTTTGAACGATTTTCCTCCTCCCCTTTTCCATGCTCTTCCCTACCTGGTTTTATGTGGTTTCTGGATTAATCTAGTGTGGAGCAGAAGCGGACTTTCCCCGGCCGAAATATAGGATTAGGACTATTTCTAGAAGAAAGAGGATAGTGTCAACTGCCTTTAGCCTGCAATAGTCTAAAGCAGAATTACAGCTTGTAAAATAGGTCTCCATCAGTTTCCCAGGAGACGAGTTAAGCCCTACTTGGGTGTTCCAGCTCTTTTTAGAACCAGCAATAATTAGACTCATCTCACCCTGAGCTGTCCGGTTTTTTTTAGGATCCCCACCGACCGCTTTTGCATACAATCCTGCCGGGGCCGCCTGGCCGCACCGCTCGGCAGCAGAAACCATCGGGGCGGTTTGGGGCAGGAGATGTTCTTTTGGCAAGCGGGGCAGAGCGGCTGTCCTGTCCTGCCCGACGTGCCATCCCCTTGCGCTTTGATGTCCGCTGCCTTTGAGCCATCTCTGCATGTCATTAGGGGCCCGGACAATTAAAGAAGTGCCTTTGCGTCTGCACCCCCCCCCCCCCCCCACCTCGACTCCCCCTCAACCCCTCCCCGCAGCGGAGGGGAAGTCGGAAAAAAAGAAATACATCGGCCGACACGGAGAGCCGATGCGGGGCTGAGTTCGCCTTCGGATCGCGATTGTGAGCTGGGAAAGTCGCCCGGAGGGGAGCGGGAGGAGCCCCGACAGTGACAGCGACAGTGACTGCCCGTCCTGCCGCTTGTCGCCGGCTTTGGTGGCGGATTGGATGGGGAGACCTTCTGCCGCCCGGGTATGAAGGCTCCGTCCTCGGGGCGGTCGGATGCCGCTCGGTCTCCCCGAAAGTCAAATTAAAAAATAATAATAATAATAATAATTATTAAAAAAAAAATAGAATAAAATCGATCAGTGGGAATGAAAGGTTGGAAGAGAAGCTTAACGCACTGCTCTTTCCGAGAGGCTGGCAGCGGGGAAATGAGGCTTGGAGGGCTCGGAGGAGGCTGGGGATGCTCGGGTGTTCTATAGGCTATCTCTCTATCTACCTGTATATATATATTAGTAGTGACACAGCACGAATAACGAGTAGAAGAAGGTCGCGGCGTGCAGCCCCGCTCCCGCCGGGCTGGGACTGCCCGTGGCCGGGAGGTGAGCCGCTCCCGGGCCGTTCCCACTCGTGTCCCCTCCCCGAACGGCGACACGAGTTCGGTGACAGGTCATTGCCAAGTGCCGTACCCCAGAGCCCGGCATTGCCCGGGCACCCGCTCGGTCGGGAGCCGGAACCTGGCACGGGAAAAAGGACACGCGTGCACAGCCCGCTCCCGGTCTCCGTGGGCTTCGAGAGCTCTCTCCTTCCCGAGTCCCCGCGTGGCTGATGCCACTCGTGTTCGTGCCCAGCGGCCGAGCCCCGGCACCGTTAAACGCCCGTTTTCCTCTTTTTCTTCGCGTTGTGAACGAGAAAATGAGGATCTGGGGTCTTTTTCCCTTCGGTTCTTGCCCACGCGGGGACGGGGACTGCCTGTGGCACCGGCAGCGACGCTTCCCCGTGACACGGACACGGGAGAAATGCCGCTCGGAGAGAGGAACGAAAAAGCGCCGCGGACCCGGGGGGGACAACGGAATAACACACAGAAAGAGGGGAAAAGAAAAAGGGAAAAGAATACAAACAAACAACAAAATAAAGGAAAGAAAAGCAGAAAGATACGCGCGGTTCGGGTCCCGCGCGTCCCCGTTCCTTCTCCGACGGCCCCACAACGACTCGAGCCCTCGGCAGCCAGCTGAGGGGCTGCGGCCAGCCGCACCCGCACCCCGACCCGTCCTCACCCCGCTCCCGCACGGGGATCCCCCTCGGACCCCAAATCCCCCTCCTCAATCCCGTCTCCTCCAAGGCCAGGCGGAGAGGCGGGGTCCTTTCCACAGCGCACCCCAAAACCGGGACGGAACCGCCGTCCCCTCGGTGCCCCCCGCGCCCCTCTCGCCTCCCGCGGGCCCGGGGGGGGGGGCGGGGGGGGTGGGGGGGGGGGGGGGGGGGTGACAGCGTTGCGCAGCCGGAGGTGACAAACGCAAAGAAGGAGGAGAAGGGGAAGCGCTGCGAGTGTCACCTACCTGCGCCCCGCGCCGCCGCGCCCGCTCTGCGGGAGCCGGGAGCATCCCCGCATTTATGGGAGCCGCAAGCGGGCGGCTGTTGACTTTAGCACAAAGCAAAGATTTCGCTGGCCGCTAGTTTAAAAATGAATATTTTACCAAGATATCGATCAGCTTTATAAAATTCAGTTAAGCACAATGGCTCAAAAGGAGAA